CTGATCGATCCACGAAGACTCTAAGAACAAGTATTATACAATTTCCTGCACTCATCAAGTTCATAAGCTCGCTGACTTGTGAAAGAAGTTGTTATTTGCTAGTTTCATCCGAACGCAACTAATATATCTTATTACATCTACATCTCGTGTCTACACATGTTGCATCTGTGTTTATTTATACCTTTAAATTTTTTTAGCTGCTGTCTTGCCCATCAGCTTCTAAGATTTATCGTGATGATGAAGGACTCAAGTGAAGCAGATATGAGAATTGGAAGATAATGAGAGTATTTAAGTACTTGTAAACAAACATCATAAAGAGAGAGATGTGACTCTTGAGGAGCATGAGGTCTTTGCTCTGACGACGACAAGTTGCTTCCTGTAGAAGAATACTCCTTGACAGTTGATCCCAATGAAAATTCCAGTGTTCTGAATTAGAGTCAGATTTGAACTTTGTCTTGGAGCTTGTCTTTCAGGATATGACACATTTACGTTTGTGTTCCACGTCAGGATTGTCAAAGAGGAACACCTCAATCAGTTCATAGTAATCCTTGAGTACCTATCAATTTCATTTTCTACGGACTGATCAAATACTTTTGTCAAATAAAGCTTACTACTGGATGCCAGTGAATACTAACTAATAGCGTGGAGACAAAGTTTTTAACTTGAAATATGATTTTATTCAGACAATTTTCAACTGATACAACCATAACATATCAATTTAAATTCTTCAAAGAGATGATACGCTTTTCAAATGATAAAAAGCAGAACATGTTAATTTCAAATTTTCAAATAATTGACACAGTTTTGAAGTGATAAAAACCATAACACAAAAAATCTAATTTTCGTAGTCATAAAATTTTTATGACTACGAAACATATCGTTAAACTATTTTATGATAAAATAGTTTACAAATCATGTTTTCCATAAGAGAATAAATTCAAATTTTTGTAGAGATGATGTTGTCAGTTTTCAAAATCATCGACATTTCAATATCAATATATCTGTTTGTGCGAAATATTTCTGTTGTTGAAATCGAATATCTGACATAAAAATCAATAAATTATAAGAAATTTCAAATTGAAGGTTTTTTCTCACATCCCAGTATCTGGTCTTATAATCTTTTACGATATGACAAAGGCATAAACGTATATCCGATTTGATCATTCAAAAGATAATTATGTACTTCTTGATCTGGAATATACATTTGGGACCTCAATGAGAATTTTATAATCATTATCTCATAACGATAATTAAGACTAACCGACTTCTGATTAGTGAAAACTATTTATTTTCTTGTAATGGAACATACTTGGAATTGATATAGTAATAAGAGATGCAATAAGTACACCCTAGCTTACTCATATTACAATAAAGCTTAATGTCTTAGCAATGTATCCTTCTACACATTCATCATCAGTCGGGCTTGTGTTATATCAACCTCATTATACATGCTGATTTTGTTTGATTTTCTTAACCAATCGGATCCTTTTTTTTTGGGCGTCAGATCTGTTCAAATTCCAACAGCTAAAAATGAAACGTGAACTTATCAGCACAAGCCTATTGATATATTATAAATCGTGTATAGTAGGGGCGCACCTTTCAATCTAAATGTAAAACCTCATAACGTCAAGGACCGTATTAGATCGGATTGAATTTTGATATTCAGTCAAATGTTTCAGCAACTTACGACGATTGATTTCCTGCCTGATGAGTTTCTTCATGGTTGATCTCGAAAGAGGATAAATGAAGATTCATGTTATCTATTGCATATGAGGATGATTTTTGTTATATGGTATGTGAAGTATGGGTTATAAAGGAAAAATAAAACCAATAAGAAGTTCCGAAGAATTGATTTATTTATGAGAATAAGATTTTCGCATTTCTTATTAATTGATATGTAAATGCAAAACATGAAACTATCAAGTAGATTTATTTATTAAATATGTGATGATTATCAAACGATAAAATCTCCAAATGAATGAAATCTCCAATGAATCTCCAAATGATTAATAATTCGTAATGACTTCGCATAGACTATGAGCTTTGCAGTCGTCTACCTTTGAACTCATGACTCATCCCTGTGGAGTTTCTCCATCTGAATGTCTTCCCATCGGAAATACTTCCGGGCGTTACTTCATGGGCCACATTGAATAGTTTGGAGTTAAATTAATGGAACATGGCAATTGAACATGGATATGTAAGATTACAGTAGCCAATATTAACTCACCGATATTGAGATTGATGTGCTTATTTATTTATAGATGTCACTGAAGGCTTTGACTGCAATACACCATCCTGCTACTCGTTAGTGTCCGAGTAGCTTCCCTCGATTGCCGCATTAGATACTAAGATCTATGCACTCCTGACAATCAAACTTCATTCTCAACTAGATAATATATCAGTTTCTTTGATGAGGTTGATTGAAGATATACATATGCATGTCAAGATAATCAAGAAAATAAATGAGAAATCTGGAAACTTCACCCTTTTTGTCCTAATTTTGCTCCTAGGAACGAGTACTGGGTACAGGAAGCATGAGAATGTAAAGCATGACCTTTGTAGCATGTGCTCGCCTCTCACGTCCGACCTGCAAGAAGAGAAATTCCAAAATTCAATTCATACGCTGATTCACCTTCGGCGCGTCTTCATTGACTGGTTACGATACGGACACAGCCGAGTAGCTAAAACTGATAGGCCGAACTTCTAAGGGACAATACATCCTTCTCTTCTGCATGCAAACCACGTTTCTACGGACATAGTTCCAAACCAAACATAGTTACTTCATCCTACAGAAAAATGTATGTTACAAGTCTCACACACTCTACGCAAGAGCTAGAAGGAGACAGCAGGAAGGAATTAAGACGACTGCTACGTTGACCACTAGCCATAGCTCGCCAGCTGCCCCAGTCAGATCATAACATCGGAAATGCATTGCATGGCATGGCAAGAGCGGATCCACTTCACCACAGGTGAACAAACGGAGCCCGATAATGAGAAGAATCCCAGCAACTCTCGAAGCGCGAAAGCGAATTGGGAGGAGGAGGGAATTGGGATGACTGACCAGGAAGGAAGGATGAATACAGAAGAAAAGTGGCTACGTTCAAAGTCAATATATTTGGAACAATATTTTGGAATGAAAGTAGTCACTTACAGATTTTGGAATTTTTCGTCTATTTCGTGTAAAAAGTCTAAAACAAGAAGCTAAACACATCTTGTATTTTTAAAATTTATAAATGAAATCCAGAAAAAATTAAAATTATATTATTACGATATAACCTTTTTTGTTCCAAAATTTTCCGACTGATAATATATTATTTCATTAGTTATCAATGAATAACTACTGCCTTCACGATAAAAACTTGTAGAACTGCAATAAGGGAGTTATTTACTTGATCTACACGCAGCAATAACGCAACAGAAATTGTGATACTTTCTTGAAGCGAGGCTGACTATTGTTGTGATCCAATAGCAGCCGTTGGAGCCCCAGGGGCCGGAATTTAGTGTCGAGCATATTTGACTTCAGCATTTAACAGAAGTACTAAAAATCAAACACTTAAAAGTATATCTGATGTACTTTCAAGTTTTTGTTTAAGGTAGTAACGTTTATTAGCAAATTGTACTTATTCTTTGCATAACATTTAAATTACATACGTTTAGCAGATTATTTTCGTAGTTTGATAAGTCTGATAAAATATTTGGAGATATTAGTTTGTTGCAGTAGTACAAATCTTTTATAATACGATTTTTCAAATGAGTCCTAGCTCCATATGATCCTGTTTTCATGCACAAATTGTTTGATGGTATTCCCATCGTTTTTGCTACGTACTTGTTTCAATCACTTGAATGGAACATTATCTGTCAATTCCTTCCGTTTTACTTCACAACAATGAAATGATATAACGTGTCTATATTCTGGTCCAAAAGAATTGAATCAATGGCTAAGTTTAAGTACATGAATTCCGATTGAAGAGCACGTGGATACATATTCTGCTCAAAATAATTGAATCAATGGCTAAGTTTCAGTCCATGAATTCCGATTGGAGAGCACGTGCAACTACTTTCAAGCATCTCATCAATGTCATTTCCATTACAGATCTTGCAAATCGCACGAGTAGGCCTAAAAATAATTCATGTGAATCATCCTTCAACTCCGTACCTCCTATCCTGTATGCGATTGGAAAATCAGATGGAATTAGCAGATTTGACATTTCCCTGTGCTGTAAAAAAGTAAGCATGAGCAGATTTGAGGCACCATTACTGCAGATTTTATGGATGTCATCGGCATGGCCCTTCACAAATCTCGCCCTGGGTGGAAAACGAGGAGAGCATCCCACAACCAATATCAGTAAATAGCATATTATTATTGAGTCAAGTTATGCCGTTTTGCAATTTTCATAGCTCATGAATTATGGGAATTGGTCGTATAAGTAGTGCAGTGGTTCAAGCTAACATCATCGGTTCATTGTTTGCAGACCAGACCAGTGGAGATATCCTTGCACTCAGGTATATACTCTCTCCAAGCACTTTAAGTTTCCGTTTGCAGAGACAGCCTGAGAGCTGATCAAATTGAGCTTTGCAAGTTCACTGGACTTAATATATCAAAGTTCTTCTTCATGGAATGCTATCTCGGGTCCTTTAGCTTTTCACCACAAAGTGAACTGGGCGCCGTTTCATGCTTCTCTTCTTTTTCCAATGGAGGGAATGGGGATCGAAGTTTTGGACTCGCTTCTTTTCTGAAGCTATGGACAGAGCAACTAAACCAGACTTCCAATATAGTCACGTTATAGAAGATGATGGAGCTCTTAACCTCCCTTGATGCGAATGTTGACTGCAGATTTGTGCTAGCTCAGAGAAGTGATTTCATTCAGAATTTGACCATTCACCTCTCTGTCATTTTCTCTCATGCTGTGTAGGAAGATTAACAAGGAAACCTCACTAAAATGGAAGCCAAAAGTTTGCATACGTCCACACTTTCGGCTTTACTTGGAACCTTGCTGCTGATGGCAGCTCCGACCTGCAGAGCAGGCCTTACGGATGCGGTGGTCGGTTTGATATTACCTAAATCACCACCATCCCCAGCATATCCTCCACCATCACCAGCCCCAACATCGCCGCCACCACCAGCGCCGGCCGGTTTGAATCCACTCTACTACGCCAGCAGCTGTCCCTCGGCTACTGCTTGGGTGCAAAACATGACTTCTAATATGGTTGCAGATGACAGGACCATGGCTGCAGCCTTCCTGCGCTTGCACTTCCATGACTGCTTCGTCCGTGTAAGTTACGAGAGACCTTGACCTGAAAACGTTGCAATCAATTGCACATGCCATAAGCCTTTGATTATAGTCGGTCCAACTTATTGCGGGATTGCTTTGATAATCAAGAGAGCAAAATCTAGATCTTGCGAGCATGGATTCTTCTGGCAATCATTTAGAATCTCTACATTGTGATTTGAAAGTGCTTGACCCCGTCCTTTACTGCAGGGATGTGATGCATCTGTTCTCCTGGACTCGACTTCGGGGAACACTGCCGAGAAGGATGCACTGGCCAATGCCAATTCCCTAAGAGGATTTTACCAAATCGATCAGATCAAAGCACAATTGGAATCGGTTTGCCCTGGTGTTGTTTCGTGTGCTGACATCCTAGCTTTGACAGCTCGCGATGCGATCGTGACGGTAACGAACATGCACTTGAAGCATACGTAGATAAGACCCCCACCACGACTTGTGGAATAGGGACGATGTCGCTTACAAATTACCCTCTGATTTATCTCATACTAGGAAGGAAGTCTGATACCATCGCGTGACATTGGAACCGATTGGAATCGATTGCAGATCGGAGGCCTTTCGTGGGTCGTATATCTGGGAAGAAAGGACGGAGTAGTATCCACTGCAGCGGAGGCCATGGCTAGCTTACCTTCTCCTTTTTCCAACTACACGGAGCTCACCCAGGCATTCGCCAAAGTTGGACTCGGCGAGAAAGATTTCGTCGTGCTTTCAGGTGAGAGGCAGGGGCAACGACAGTGTCCAGATCATGAACATGCATCGTGATGAAGGTAAAATGGGCACAAATCCCCGTGACGAAATGGATTTGTAAATCTTACACTTCCTCGTATCTCGGATGTGGCAGGTGGGCACACAATAGGCACAGCGAAGTGTGGAATTCTCTTCAGCCGCCTGTACACATTCACTGGACCGGGAGCCATCAACGGGACGGACCCGACTCTGAACGCAGATCTGGCCGCGTTGTTGAAGCAGCAATGCCCACAGAATGCTCCCTTGAACACGGTTTTCATGGACCCATCAGGAAGCTTTCCCGGACAGACTTATGACAATGGCTACTTCATGCAGGTCAAGGCCAACAAGGGCGTGTTCACTTCTGACGCAGCTCTTCTGACAAGCTCGTTCGCCGCGAGTCTTGTGGCCCGGGAAGCGAGTGCAACGTCTCCCTTCATGAAAGACTTCGGGATCTCCATGCAGAAAATGGGGACGGCTGCTGCTCCTGCCGGAGCTGTCTTGGAGGTTCGAAAAAACTGCCACTTCGTAAATTAAATCACTTCAGAGTCGATCACCTTGAACTGCAAATCTGAAAGTAGGATGAGAGGCAACGTGGGCACCGATTGCTCATTAGAATCGCATTGTCAGAGTAGAGAACCCAGAAATTAGAATTCCAGGACTTACTCGTTGAAATAGCTGAATGTAGTAGAGAGGGAATGAAATATCGTCAAGATTTCAATAATTGTCTTCTGGGACAATCGGCCTTTACGGTCTGTGGATACATGAGTATCCACAGACCGTCAAACCAGTCAACCCAGGCCATTACATTATTAAATTATAAGAGAGTTTGCTATACACAATCCATGTTAATCACCGATGCAACGCTTTTCTTCTAACGAACACGACCTGTGAAGTGAATATTTTGCCCTCGGCTCTGAACCCCTACTCCCTGATCTATTATATACTCCCCTGAAGCTGTACGTACGAGTTAACAATACGAGTAAGGCACTCTCCGTAGATGACTTGCTTTATTAGTAGTTTCGCGTGTGGCCAAAAGAAACTGAGATACATCTGAATGCGAAGACTGAAAGATCATTCTAACTTTTATGATAACTGTATGCACAAAGCGTGATGCTTTATGTCCTGTGAGTTCCATTTACGTGATCTTTCGATTTCATGGAATTACGTATACATAGATTCTCCTACATCACTATAACTGGCTGATTCCCAGAACTGTGCTCGCTGCGCTGGTGTATCTACCAACGTCTGCAATTTGTTTGCTTGTAGTCAATGTTATGAGAGACAAGCTGAAGATTGGCCGTAGAACAAACTCTTGAAAACTTTCATATCACCCCCGTGACAGTGCATCGCCTTCATGAAAATGAGAATTTTCGAAAATTTGTACAAAATATAACCTTTTTACTTATGCACAAACCATTGAATCCAAAGCCTGATACCAGTTCCGACTTTCAAGTAGATTGAATGTGTAAATGTACATGTGTCATTTTCCACATAAAAGTGGAAACTCTTCGTATTCACTAGCTCTTGTAATCAGCTCTCGCGAACCAATTTACATTTATAGTTTTATGCAAATTATAGCTGAAGAGCACAAGTGCGGTCTGGACTGTCCGGATGGATGGCCGCCACCCCAAACTCAGCGGACGGTTCGGATGTGACGGGCGACGGAACCTTCGCAGCGCAAACGACTGCCACCTCAAACTACGGAAATAAACCGATAAGTCTAAGATGTAGAGGAGGTTAGGGTATAAATATGTCGTTATTAAATGTGTCAGCGGATCTCAGCGGATATGGTTGTGGAAAGGGCAGTGCATTGAGCTCTGCCATTTCCGCCTTCATGGTGTTCATGGTAGCGCCACCGTGGTGTCCACTCGAAAACTTTACGGATTACAGCGTCTCGTCAGGTTTGTAAATTCTAGCAAAAGGCAAGTCGTGTAGAGTTCTGTTCTACATTATCGGTATTCGAGTAAGGAGACAGATTCAAAAACACGGACGATGCTAAGTGTTCTCTCGCCACGATATGGTGTAGTTGATGCATACATGAGCATATGGATATGCGGGGATCCTTTAGTTATAAAAGAATTATCTTAAGAAGTAGAAAATAACACATAGAATACTCATAAATAAACATGGCTCTCACCCCTCTTAAACCCGGAAGGCCCTTTAGTTATGAAAGAATAACCTTAAGAAGGAGAAAATAACACATAGAATACTCATAAACAAACATGGCTCTCACCCATCTTCAACCCGGAAGGCCGAAGCCTTAAGTACAAGAGATCATAACTCTAATCTAGCACTCCAATCCATCCTTTATCAACTCAAACTATCATAAGGACTCAAAGAAGGTCTCGGATCCTTTGCCGGAGGCCCTTATATTCTAGGAAATAGGAAGTTACCTGATAAAAAACCTAAATCTACACACTCGTAGATATAGCTCATAAATCTATCATAATCTAAATACAACTAATATAGAAAGTCTTATCTTATCAACTTGATGAGGTGTAGGCTTTGCCACCGTCTTATGAACTTGACGTGGACAAGTAATGACCACTTGATCTAAACCTTCTAGAACTTACCACAAAGTCTTAACCCTTTAACCACTTTCTAATCCTAAGTAAATATCTCTAACACTAGTAAATCCACAACTTTAACCCCAACATTACCCCCACGCGTATAGCCAAATCTGTCCTCGGATTTTCACTAGTCTAACAAGTCTACGTAAGACTTCTTCAACTTGTCATGATTAACCCCATCCAGATAATTTATTCCATCCAAATTGTGTAAGGAATAAGTACCGTTAGTCACAAAAACTTCCTTAATTTCGTAAGGCCCAAACCACTTAGGTAGTAGTTTTTTGTGAGCTCTATGAAAATGCCTTAAATCGTACATCATCACCAAATCTCCGGTTTTGAACACCCACTTCTTCACATTACTATCCCAAGCTTTCTTCATTTTTGCTTGCGCCACTTCAATCGCTTGTCTTGCCCTCAATTGGATCTCGTCCAATTCGTTAAGTCGGACTAACCGCTTTTGTTGGAACTCGTCCAAACCCAACCGTGTTTTAGTAGCGGTGCGAAGGGTCATGAGTTCATACTCAATTGGAAGCAAAGCCTCCATACCATAGGCTAGACGAAAAGGAGAGAACCCGTTAGCTGTTTTCAATGTAGAGTTGTATACCCACATTGCATGATGAATCTTTAGATCCCAATCACTAGCATTCGCCCTTGTTTCCGCTTCCTTTGCAAGCATAGAGCACAACGTTTTGTTAGTTCACTCCACTAACTTGTTCGTACTCGGCTTAGTTGTAAACCTATGTTTAATCGCTAATCGTACCATCAAATCCTCCCATACATCACTTGTAAATTGAGGTCCATTATCCGATACCATCTCTAAAGGAATATCAAAGTGAGTGACAATGTGTTCGTACACAAACCGCGCTACCTCTTTCTTGACCGAAGTTTTCAAAGCCGGAACCTCCGCAAATTTTGTAAAATAATCCGTAGCAACAACTATGAAGCGATGTCCCCTCTTAGTGACCGGTAAAGGACCCATAAATACAATGCCCCGTTTTTCAAATGGCGCTAATGGAGGAATAGGGTGCAAGTTGCCGCTCACTGTGGATTTATTCGCAAATGCTTGACACACTTCGCAACGTTTGCAATAATCAAAGGTATACTTCAACATCGTTGGCCAATAGTATCCCGCCGCAAGGATTTTCTCCACCATAACTCGCCTCACAAAATGTCCCCCACAAAAACCTTCATGAAACTCTCGTAACAATTTTGGGACATCACTTTTTTCCACCGCACGTCGAAGAATACCATCTCTCCCACACAAATAAAGCAATTGACCTAGCAAGGTATAAGATCGACTCTTGTGTGCAATTCTCGTCTTTATTTGTTTTGTTGCACCTTCCGGATTATTCATACTTTGGAGATATCTGATGATATCTTTGTACTCCTCCGGTTCATCCTCGATGTTAATTGACATTAACATGGCATCCGGAAAATCGTCGTCTTCGGACACGATTCCCACCTCCTTCTCCATTCGTGAGAGAAAGTCAACATGTCCATGTTTCGTACCCGCTCGAAGTACAATCTTCAAGTCAAATTCTTGAAGCAAAATTATCCACCGTGCAATTCTACCCGTCGCATTTGGTTTGTTGAGAAGATAAATCAATGCTTGATGATCCATCACCACCGTGGCCTTTATACCTAGTAAGTAGTGTCGGAATTTCTTCAACGCAAAAACAACTCCTAGGTCCTCTTGCTCCGAGACCGTGTAATTCATCTCAGCCAACGTGAGTTGTCTACTAGCATAGTGAATTGGATGGTCGTATCCCTCTTTATCCAATTGTGCTAGAGTTGCCCCTACTCCTTCTTCCAATGCATCCGTAAAAACCAAAAATGGTTTTTCCCAATTTGGAGTTTGTAAAATTGGTGCCGAGAGTAATGCTTGCTTGAGCTTATCAAAAGCCTCTAATGCATCCGGAGTAGCTTGCGGATGGGGAGCATCATCTCTCAAAAACCTAGTTAAAGGTTTAGCGATCATGGCGTACTGCTTGCTGGATCGGCGATAATAACCCGTAAAGCCCAAAAATGCTTAAACCCCCCGTTTGATAGTAGGAAATGGTGCTTCTACCATAGCCTCCATTTTCTCCGGATCGTAACCAATTTACTCCTTAGAAACGATGTGATCAACCAAACGTCCTGATGGAAATCCAATTTTGGTTTTCTCCGCACTAAGTGTGATTTCTGCCTCATCTAAGCGTTCAAAAACCTTTTCTAATTTCTCTAAATGTGAGGCCCGATCCCCATAAATCCCAAAATCATCCATAAATACTCTTACAAAGTGCCCTAAGAATGGTGCTAATATTTTGTTCATGAGCATTTGAAAGATAGCGTTACAAAGTCCAAATGGCATTACCTCGTAACAAAATGTGCCCCATGGTGAAGTGAACATCGTCTTGAGTTGATTCTCGGGTGCGATCTTCACTTGATGATATCCACTGTACCCGTCCGCAAACGAATCTAATCGCAAAATGGAATGGGATATCTATCTTTCTTCATAACATCATTGAGTTTCTTGTAATTCACGCAAACCCTCAATTTCCCATTTTTCTTTGGAGCCAAGGGTATTGGAGATAACCACTTTGTATTCTCCACCGGTCATATGAATCCCGCTTCTTACAATTTTTCCAATTCTACCTTCACCAAATCGGCGTATTTAGTATTCCTGCGGTAAAGTTTTTGCCTTATCGCCTTTCCGTTCTCTACAAGCTCAATTTTGTGCGTTTCCAATGAAACTTCACGCAAATCCTTGTAATCAAAGGCAAAAAGATGTATGAACTTATGCAAAAGTTTGCGAAAGTGCTCGTGCTCTTGAGTAAACAGTTTTGTCCCAACCGAATTTGGTCCAACCGCCATGCTATTTCTTTGTCGGACAAAACCGATTTCTCCGGTGTACGCTTCACGTGAAGTGTATGTGGCGAAACTCCTCGCTTTGAAACCGCTTCAATTGCATACAATCCCACTTCGTCCTTCGAAGAATCGTCCGTGTAAATTCCTTCGGACTTGGAATCGTCCGCCTCATTCGAATCGGAGTCGGATTCGTCGGATGCCGGTGCTCCTCCTAGAGGTACAAACGGAATTCGTTACCGATGTGGCCTCTTCTCGATTGCCATGTACCCTTCGCCCCTATAGTTCAGTATGTGTGCTTTGGTAAGCCATGGCCGACCTAAAATCATTGGATAAGATCCATCTTCTTCTAGCACCACATGAAAATCCACAGCCGTGGAAATTCCTAAAACATTGATACACAAGTTGGATATCATA